TATATATATAGTAACAACTACTACAAAAACCTCCTCAAACGGGTTCACAATATATACAGTAACAACTACTACAAAAACTTCCTCAAATGGGTCCACACTATATATAGTAAAAACTACTACAAAGACTTCCTCAAACGGGTCCACACTATATATAGTAACAACTACTACAAAAACTTCCTCAAATGGGTCCAGACTATATATAGTAACAACTACTACAAAAACCGCCTCAAACGGGTCCACACTATATATATAGTAAAAACTACTACAAAAACTTCCTCAAATGGGTCCACAATATATATATAGTAACAACTACTACAAAACCTCCTCAACAGGTCCAATATAGTAACAACTACTACAAAAACTTCCTCAAATGGGTCCACACTATATATAGTAAAAACTACTACAAAAACTTCCTCAAACGGGTCCACACTATATATAGTAACAACTACTACAAAAACTTCCTCAAATGGGTCCAGACTATATATAGTAACAACTACTACAAACATTTCCTCAAGTTATCAGTCAGTCATGTAGTTCTCTGTCAACTTATCAGTCAGTCATGAAGTTCTCTGTCAACTTATCGGTCAGTCATGAAGTTCTCTGTCAACTTATCAGTCAGTCATGAAGTTCTCTGTCAACTTATCAGTCAGTCATGAAGTTCTCTGTCAACTTATCAGTCAGTCATGAAGTTCTCTGTCAACTTATCAGTCAGTCATGAAGTTCTCTGTCAACTTATCAGTCAGTCATGAAGTTCTCTGTCAACTTATCAGTTAGTCACGAAGTTCTCTGTCAACTTATCAGTTAGTCATGAAGTTCTCTGTCATGTTATCATTTAGTCATGAAGTTCTCTGGAAATGTTATCAGTCAATCATGTGCTCATATTAACAGACAAATTTTTTTACGTGACTTACTTAATGGCCAGATTTTAGATATTAACAGAACGACATCCACATAGATTTCATAACAACCTTACACAGAAACACGGATTTAACTTTCAGCAACAACTAATACCACATCTCCATCTACCATCAAGATCTGATTCCAAAACTACAAGAGATTTATTCTCTTGCAGTCAGATGGAGTTTGTTAACAAACAAGTGAATACTAGCTACGAGCACGACGAAACATTCTTGTGCCCGAAAAGAAATTAAGGAACATTTAAAACCCTAAATGGTACAAAAGAAGCTAATGACTTATACCCAGTTCCCACATTATTAAAACAGTCATAAAAAAAAAAAACACTCACTCGCTAGCTGTCTACTCTGAAGAACAACAGGGTCAATTTCAGTTACCTGTAAGATTAAACAAATGTTCGACGACAGTCATTACTTTACAAACAAGTTTTAAGTGTTATTTATCAAGGACAGGTAAAATTTCTGTCAATCAATTTATACAAAAAACAATACAAATTCATTAAAATATTATATACGTTAAGCCTTTTTTTCATACAACATGATAATGTTAAGACACTTCTTGTCTCCCTGTCTGAAGTTATTAACATTTAGCTTTCTTACATCATCCACTTCAAAGGTGTTTTCTCTTTATACTAATCTTTATCTTGTCTTGCAATAAAATGACTTAAATTTATAATTATAATTTTAAAACTTAATAACAAAAAATAATACTCCTCTACGAATACTATCTCTATTCAACAGAGGAATTTGGTCTGTTCACAATATATAAAAACGTAGTTACCAACATTTGAGAAACGAAGACAATTCTACAGTTTTTTTACTGCAGTGATTCTCTTTCAGACATAAATGGAGTACAGATACCTTCGTAAAAAAATACTTAATAAATAAATAACACACAACATTAACATAGATACACAATTACAAACATTTTTTTTAATTCAGGCCAATCTATCGTCTGTAACGTGTTTCAATGTTTTCCATGTCATCATCAGGAGTGAACTTGCAAGACATACATATTCCTTCTTAAGGAGATCACGGGATCTTTACGTAAGTTTAGATTACAGCATAAATCTCAGAGGAGGTCCCATTACATTATTATACATATATTCAAGGGACCTTCATCTCTGTTCATGATAATTTTTAAACTTTATTATTTCTGAAGATTCACGGATACTATTGGCTTTAATTACCCTTTGGTTGAGCCAATGTTACCATTTTGTCCAATAATATCTTACGTTGTTTTTTTTTTGTACGTGTTCTGCTATGGCCGAATTTTATTTCTTACACATCCCTTATGTTCTGCTAAATTACGTTTTGTCCGTCCAATAAAAACACTTCCACATTCATATTTAATTTTATAAATTTCGGTTTTTTCCGTAAAGTGTATATTATCTTTAGTATTACATAATACTTGCTTTAAATATGGAGTAAAATATTTACTTTTGTAACAAATCTGATTTTTTTGTGTACAACAGACTACTATACTTCACTAAGAGCTTGCATTATTTCGTGAAGATACACGTAACAAATTTCCAATGGACTGACCGTGTACACAACTGGTTAAAACGATTTCATTTCATGCTTGTTTTGATTATGTACTTTTATTATTATTATTATTATCCTACCTTTTTATATTTTAATCTTTAAACTGTGAAATACTTTACTACTATCAGAGACCCGCAAAACATTTGTGATCAAGTTAGTATCTTTATTGCAACAGTACTTCTTTAAATAGAGAAGTTATAGAATAATAGAAAAGAACTATAAAAGCAGACACTCAAATATGTTAGTCCACTTGTCTTAGGCCTAGCATTAGTTAAACCTATATTAAGTATAGTCTAAATTTGATAAATAGATAAATTAACACTGTAAAATGTGTACGTTTTTTGTTTTAGAAATCTGCCCTAAGACAAGTGGACTTCCTAGCATTGGTTAAACCTATATTAAGTATAGTCTAAATTTGATAAATAGATAAATTAACACTGTAAAATGTGTACGTTTTTTGTTTTAGAAATCTGTAAGTCCACTTGTCTTAGGCCTAGCATTGGTTAAACCTATATTAAGTATAGTCTAAATTTGATAAATAGATAAATTACACTGCAAAATGTGTACGTTTTTTTTGTTTTAGAAATCTGTAAGTCCACTTGTCTTAGGCCTAGCATTGGTTAAACCTATATTAAGTATAGCCTAAGTTTGATAAATAGATAAAAAAATGTTCATAGAACAATACACAGAATGAACACAAAAACGTTCTTTAGAGATATTTCCAACAATGAAGCTAGACTCAAAACAAAACAGTATCTAAAGAACAACAACTTATATATTTAAAGGACACACAATGATGTTCCCAGATTACTTACATTTTGTTTTTCTTCATCAACACCTGTACATTCAAATAACACACAATGATGTTCCCAGCTTACTTACGTTTTGTTTTTCTTCATCAACACCTGTTTGGGGCTTTGGCCGCTCTTTATTTTTGATTTTATTCTGTGTTGAATTATTTGCTTTTCTATTTTTACTTGCTGCTATAGCAACAAAAGCACTGTTGGGATCTAAGTCCTGAAAAAACAAAAAAACAACCAGAAGTGAGAAAAAATTAGGTTTACACATTGACAACATTAAAACATTGCATACTGTGTCCTTTATTGACTAAATTAATCATTAACTACTAAACTTGCCTGACCTGGTGTTAGTGTTAAAAACCATTGCAAGGCAGTGTTTGAAGAGAGCATTTAGAAGAGGAACAGATTTAAGCAGCATCGTTTGGAATCACAGTGACGAGATCGACAAAAAGAGGAGTGACTCTGCAAATGTGCCTTCACATTGTCTGATGAAACCTTATATAAGATAGTATCTTACATATTTAAATTTCCAGGAAAACACTATTTGTCTGGCTACAAATAGTTAAAAAAAGGTCCACCCAACTTCCAGTACACTTGGTCATTTTATGGAACCTTTTGATCAACTACTAATTTATAAAATATCAGGTTGTATTCTACAATGTCTTATGACCTTCTTAATACTTCCCAAAAACCTTCAGGTCTTCCTTTTTGTAACTTATAACTCAAAATAACCTTACTATTATCTTTAACGTTCTAAATTATATGCATCTAAAAACTGTTCCTTCTTTAAAAAGTATCATTTTGGCATCTTAGTGAATAATTGAGATAAAACATTAGCAAGGAATGAAACAAGTCAATTAACCCTAATGCCACGGATATACTTTACTGCACATGACACAAGGTTTTAGTGTCTTACATTCAAAATTTTATAAAACTGTTTATGCTATACCAATTAGAATAACATAAAATCTTAGTTGATAATCCATATTTTAATTGTATACAAGTTTTAACTTCTTAATTCTACAAGGAAATATATAAACAAATCCTGAATTTCTACTTGTGTGATGCATTATTATATTATATGAAAAATATGATTTTTTTTATGCGAAAGACTTATAATATTAACTGAAAGACTGCCAAATTTTGTGAAGACATACACATTATACTGAAAGTTAGAAGTATTAAATCTATAAAGACTTTAAATGAGTACAATAAGTTCACGTGGTCGGTCAAATTGACCGAGCCTGTGTTGAAAAAGAGTTAAAACCGCAGGGTGAATTTGGATTCATTTACTATGAACATATTCTCATTATCAATACAACCTGGTGTTGTTGCTATTGTAGTTTTTAGCTCAAAGCTACACAAAGGCCTGATCAAGCTATCTCCACTCCAGGAATCAAATCCCATATAATAATTTTTTTCTTGTAATGATTTTCATTCTTACAGATGTTTCCCTTCCCTCTACGCGGTGTTTTTAACATTAATACAGAAAAAGAAGAAAAATGTCATCCTGAAATAATTCATTCCTATTTATAACTTAATTAGTTAAAAACAGGAAACACGTGAAAGAAAATAATTACCTCTTCTTCATTTTCTGAAGATGAAGATTCATAATTCCTGGAATAAGTCATAATTTTAGTTGTTTGAAATGTTACAAAAAAATTTCATAAAAAATTGGGTGTTATTTCACTTACAATAACATAACAGTATTTTTACACTGATAAAACTAGCAATAACATAACAGTATTTTTACACTAATAAAACTAGCAATAACATAACAGTATTTTTACAAAACTCTCTACTTTAAGATTTTATTTTAGAACTTTTGCCCAAAGCTACCTGCATATATCCATCAATAATTTTGATTGGTAGACTAGCCAGAAGGCAGCTAGTTAACATAACCCATGCCAACTCTTGGGTAGTTCTTGTCTGACCAAACAGTGGGATTTGACTGTCACTCTCATTAGTACACCCATGGCTCTTAGATCCACCCTAGCTAGGGGCTCGAACCTACGTATCAAGACAGTACAGAAGACTGTTCTTATCTGTGAAGTGTTTTAAAAGAAAGTCTCCAAGATGGAACTGGTGATATTCCTTGGTGCAGTTAATTAAGAAGTAAGAAACAGGGATTTGAAGTTGGAGAAGGTTAAAAATTTCCAGCAAAACTCAGTTTCTACGATAAAGATAGCCAAACCAACCAGAAACTTAGCAACAACACTTGACTACAAACCCATTAAGTCCCTTGCTACAGCACCAACGAACTTCTGTGTCTGCCCGCACATAGTTTTGGAAGCTGTCGTACAGTAGAGGTCTAAGACAGATCTCAGCTCTTGTGAAGAAACTTGTTACAATAAAACATGCAGTGCTAGTTAAACCCACGGTCTGTCTTTGAAGGAAGTACTTCAAAAGGCAGGAAAGGACCCATAACATCTCTCTTATAAAGTATATCTTTCACTGTCACATTTATAGTTATATAACTATCCCAGTGCCAATTGTATTATACAATACACGATACAATAAATATTTTAATATTTCATTACTTATCGAAAACCTGAAACTAGTACACCTTAAGAAGCTTGAAATGGAATACCCTTTTATCACAGTAGTACAAAATTTCGGACTCACGAGTGGTTAATATCACACTTAAAACAGTTAACCCTAACTATTAATACAACTTACAGTTTAAAATTTAGTTTTTATACTTTAATGTTACAATACAAACTACTGAACAACAGTAATAAATCAAAACAGTAGAATGCTTCATTTCCATAGACATCTTTGATACAAAACAGCAACACTTGGAGTTCATTTCTCTGGTTAGTTTTTGCCTCAAACAAGTGTACATCACGTGCAACGAACAGAGATACACGACATCCACGACACTAAAATACATGTATTTACTTTTAGGTTTTAATGTCAGTGAAAAAAACAAATAACTTCTAAACTTTGTATTAATGTCACTCTCAAAATGTAGAGGGTGTACACAGAAACTCGACTACACTTTATATCCTGATATTTGGGACGAGGTTAAAATAATAGATGTTAAACTAACCAATCAAGAAGCTGACAAGTGTGACCTCATTAGATGTATAAGTGAGGAAATGGAAATACCTTTTATCATCTTTATTTTTTATATCTTCACCCTACAAGGAAAAAAAAGATTTAAACAAATTTGTATACTCCTCCCATCTTCCAAAAAAATAAAAATTCACAACATTTGAATCGCGTAAAAGTTTTCCCTTTGATTCACTGATTTAATACTCTGTTATAGTCAGCCTGTAGAAGTATGAGAAAAACAAATTGACTGATTCAGACTTCTAATATAAACACACATTGATCATCATTATAAATCATAAAATCTTACAAGCTGTGACAAACGTTTCAAACTTCTGTAAGTGAGTTTGTTTTAAAATTCCTAAAATCTTCAAATCAGGACTTTAAATAGTATTTTTTTGTTTTAGTTAGCTTTTACATTGCTCTAAAAACAAAATAACAACTGGAATCGGCAACGTTTCTTGCGTGTTCTTAAATGATACTAACTACACAAGTTAATGACAATAACTGTTCTCTAAACAGATGCTGATCTCCACGCATGATTAGTTATCGTAGACACACGAGTCTCTGTATTAATTTTTATTGTACTACAAATGTTGAGACATTTGCTTTGTACACCAATAACTACTGAATATCATTACAGAAAAAAATTTACACTTCATATTAATTTCCTTTGTTTTTCACCACTAAAACAGTCACTTTTTCATAAACCGTAAATCCCATCTTATTGACTTCACATTGACGTCGATAAACCAGAGTATTTTCCAGTTAATCGTCTTTAGCTGTTGGTTCTCTGGGGTGCCAAGGCTAAGATTTTGTTTAGCTGTTGGTTCTCTGGGGTGTCAAGGCTAAGATTTTGTTTAGCTGCTGGTTCTCTGTGGTGTCAAGGCTAAGATTCTGTTTAGCTGCTGGTTCTCTGGGGTGTCAAGGCTAAGATTTTGTTTCTCTGTGGTGTCAAGGCTAAGATTTTGTTTAGCTGCTGGTTCTCTGTGGTGTCAAGGCTAAGATTTTGTTTAGCTGTTGGTTCTCTGTGGTGTCAAGGCTAAGATTTTGTTTAGCTGTTGGTTCTCTGGGGTGTCAAGGCTAAGATTTTGTTTAGCTGTTGGTTCTCTGGGGTGTCAAGGCTAAGATTAGCTGTTGGTTCTCAGGGGTGTCAAGGCTAATACTAGAAGAGATCTGGGTGTACCGATTGTAATGCTAGAAGAGATCTGGGTGTACCGGTTGTAATGCTAGAAGAGATCTGGGTGTACCGGTTGTAATGCTAGAAGAGATCTGGGTGTACC